AATTTTAATTTGTAATGTGCTACAGACACTTGCTCCTGCCTTATTGTAAAGTACATTTATAAATTACTGCTACGCTCCCTCGCCCCGCCCTAAAATATACCAGGGCCTCTGGGAAGTTTTCCGTTGTAAAATACATCCGGTATAAAATACGAAACTGATTTTACCGTGCCTGTATTCCATAGAGAGATTTTTCTGTACTACAAAACCAACACGAACGCTGTACATACCTCCGCCCGGATAATGTTGCGCTTTTTAAATAATAAACCGTATAATTTCTCGACGGCATCACCAATTGTCGCTAGGTTTTTATCTTCTGCAAATAATTATGCGTAGACGGTGGACTTGTGTTACGCTACTGAGTTTACTGATCCACTAATACACTAATGCGTAGTGCGTACCCGCTACACGGCATACACGACTTCTTAGTATCTGTAGTGGGATTATTGTTTGACTCTGGCTCTTTTATAGCATGGTTTATTTTGGCCGTCATATCATATGCAGCAATCAAAAAAGCAACACAAAACAAAAACAAACAGCAGTGGCATAATATCTAGCAGGGCAGTATTCACGCACTCGACGCGCCGCGTTTTTCATGCTAACATCCAAACATATTACATATTTTGGAAGCTGCGCATCCAAACATTACGTTGCCGTTAATACGGTAACTGGCCGACACCATTATCAGCAATAATGCTATACTAGGTCCAGTCAAAACATGTTATAAGAGTGCAAAGTGCGAACCCTTTGCTTCGTTCAGTTTGGTTTTTGTAAAATCGATCGCATAAACTGTAATCCTAAGCGGCAGTTCTCTCACTTTAACGCTCAATGCTAATTGCATGACTGTAGTATGTAACTATGTTGTATCGTGCTGTACACTTTAATGGGTTACCTTTGAGAGCGGTTTTCCGCTCACAGACGGCAAATTATGAACTGGCGTTTGGGTATGTTTACGTAGCTCTAAGCGACACAACAGGTTTTTGCAAAAATTATGTTATCTTATTCTAGTATCCTAGCTAATTATTGTCGTTTGTACACAGAATTTGTACAGTTATTAAACGAAGTGAGCGATAATTATAATTTTTTAGCTGTTAGGCATTACACAGTAAGTTCTGTGTCAACGAATAATACGGATACATGCATTACGCATTTAAACAATTTGCGCGTATTTACCCTGCACATTTAAATACATGTATTTAGTACTGCTTGCTGGCTAAATTGTCTAATCACTCTGCTCCATCGTCACAGACATGTGTTTCTTAAAAATTTTTGAGGTTATAAGCACAATCATGCAAGGTGAAAGTTGTTTGGATATTAGTCATATTACCACCTGATATAAGAAAGCTTCGTGCAGAAAACTGGAAGTAAACTTGTGTGTAAAGTCTGTGCTTTCGAGTTTCGGGGATTACTTTGTAGAATGCTGGCAAATATGCCGATTGAAATTTAGCGCAGACGACTTATGAAGCAGCTTTAGTGTGTTATGGTTATTGTGTCGTTGAGTCAACTTGACACTAATTCGTACAGCGAGCCTTATCCGCTTTGAACATAATTTGCTGTATGAAAAGGTGTTAATTTAGTAAATTAGTAATTGATCTGAAATTGATAGTTGCTACCCGAGTAGTGGTTATATGAATACTAATTATCTGTGCCAGGATTTCGGCCCCTCTCATTCGGCGCCGGTGATCTCAGCTTCTGCTCATCCAGTTTTCCTACTTCAAAATGCATTATATACCTCTCGATCACGTGGGTGTTCTGAGACCCGTTACTGCTTGCTGTCTGCAGAACCCTCATGACCAGTGGTCACTTTAAAGCTTGTTACCATGGATGCCACAAGGCTGACAAGGGCGGGTGCTCGCTCTTGTGCTTCTTAATCTGCAGATTTCTAGGAAAACAGCTTATTTCTAACGATGTTGCAATATACTGCATGATTTTACGGCAACAAAATTCTAAAAATAGTCGCAAGCCAATATTCATCCGTGCTCAGCTTGTATTTTATTAAGTATGCACAATTACCGTAGTTTTAATTTCGGTTTTGATGCCACAGCCATCGTCATATAGACGCCTGCGAAAGTCATCGGTTATCACTTTTTAATGAAGATAATTCTGAAGACGTACTAAAGATTAACTACCATTGTTTGTTAATCTGTGGATTGCAGCAGAATTCTTATGAGGTATTCGGCGGGATGTTGCTGTCTTGGTGGGTGTATGTGTAAATGTTTACTATGATGACATGGGTGTCAGTGCGCTATAAAAGTATGCATCTAGTGTTTAATTCATCTGTTTTCTTTGTCTGGTTTCTTAAGTAAATGTGACTAATTATCCAAGATTGTTGACTTTTTGCCAAAAGCTTAACCCTTGATTAAGTATCATGATACGAGTACAAACTATGTACCAAAACGAAACAGCATTTACAACAGAAACATTTCCTCTATGCTCTCTTGATCGGGGATCGTACCCATTACACAAATCGCGTTTCCCCGTTGTATTGGCATAGATATTCGCTGCTTAAAAAACTCTTTCACCCGCTCCTGGCCAGTGGAAGTCGCTATACCGTTTCAAACCAATTCCACTAGCTTTTTAGTTCCGTCCCCATAAGGTCCGTAAATTTCGATGGCTGCAGCAACGAAATCGTACCTTGGTTGCAGCCAGGCATGCTTCGCTAGCTTTCCCCTTTCCGTGAGTTCGGCTGCCGCGCCGACAATCACGGAAGTGCGGTCAAAATCATTTGTCAAAATCATTTGTCTACCCTAGCTCCAGTGGTCAATCATAAGCTTGTTACCATGAACACGATAAGTAATGCACACTGTTCTAATACAACTTGACCCAGAACAGCAGAATTATCTGAGCTGCTACTTAACAATAAGTATGAGTACAGTACAAAGTAAAAAATTCATGTACTTAACTTAACGTTGGTCATAAATAATCACGTTAGTCATCATTGCAAGTTATGTACAAGTAAACAGTCAGTGTTTCGAATAAACTGTGTAAAGTGTATCATAATAATATTACTAAACATACGTACGGGTTTATTAATACAGTCTGTTAGCGACCGCAAAGCAACACATCCTTGGACTTACTTATTTTTTTAATAGTCATCGGCCAATATTCATCCGTGCTGGGCTTGTTACGTACTTAAGTATTTAATTATTTAATATTTTTAGTTGCAGAGTTTTACCAGACAACATGCTGTGCTGTTCGTGTACAACAGAGAAATAGCACAACTGTACTCTGTCTCTGAGTAGGTAAAGCAGCTTCAGTAAAATTTTGCGCCATACTCATCTTAGCGTTTATTGAAGCTTGTACTTGTACCAGTACCCCGTGCTTGGCTTCTGGACGACGTCTGGTACAATTGACCTTTGTTACAGACTGCACTTGCAGGCCGCCGTACATCTAGTCCCGACTTGAAAGTTGCGCTATCGGTCAGTGCACAAACAGCGACAAGTTTCGAGGTTACATCTGCACCTCCTGTTTCTACCGTCATATTGTTTCTGGCATCTGCCAGGTTTTATCGTTTGCCAGTTGCCAGAGTCTCCAGGTTTTATCGCATGCCATGCCGCTGGCAGTGCCATTGGCAGCTGCCACTGCCAGGTTTTACAACCTGCCCCGGACTCCCCGCTAAACTGGCGGGGGAAAATATTGCAGTGAGAAAACACGGTAGTAACACTGCTTGACGTAAGTAATCAAAGGAACAAAATCTCATTTTGTGCTGCCGCACTTTGCGTTGCGTTGCGCACGAGCACGGAAGCAGCGTTGCCTCGCAATTCCCAGCGAAAGCAGTGAACGGAGAAACTCGAGAGACATTTTGTGATTCACGACCGACAACAACCAACAAAATAACAGAAACTGCTCCGGTAAACCGCGGGCGAAATTTTCCGACAACGTCTGTGATTATTTCCGGCAGTTTTCCCAGTGCGACTGAAATCATATAGATATTTGCTGCTTCGGTTCCTGAATACATGACGTATGTAACGATATTAGGACATTAGTAACTGAATGCGTTCTGGCGGGAGAAACAAATTAGGGAAAGTTACTTTTGAAATGTCCGTTGTATGTGTCGTGATCGGTTTTCTCCGGAAGTAACATTATGTGTCCAATGTTTGACGCGCTTCGGCCCCTGCGGTCGCAGGCCACCTAGCCGACCAGATTAACAGACTGCGAACCGCTATTTTGTTTTTGCTCTGTACGGTTCCTAATCCGGAATGCAGGAAGCACTGAAAGAAATATAATATATTTTGTTTGGACTGGTTACGAATAAAGCACACAGACTTAATGTGATAATCATCAACTGATTACCGAATTAACAGAACAATGCAAACATGTAATACTCTATATCAGCAGACAGCAATTAATGACTAAACTTGCAAAGACAATAGGGGACGCCGGATTGCTACACATTTCACTACTTTCAAAGAGGTTAGCGGCATTGCTGTATATTCATAATTCGTATTGAATTTATAATAATCCCGAGGTAATTGCCTTCACCTTCATCATGAAACTAATTCCCACCGCTCTGAATCCTGTAAGAGCTGGCTGACGTATGGCCATACTCAGCCCTGCTCTTCTGCCGTTCGCAGTTTCCGGGGATTTCCACCCCGTAGATGTTCTCGCTGTTTTCACGGATCTGCAGCACAGCTGCGCTGGCTGCAAGATTCAACCTCGGTAGTGTGGTGTTGCTGCGCCACGGCGCGCATGATTTCGGCATTTAAGCCTTCATCCGGGTTCACGGCTGTTACGCTGTCGATGATACTGCCCATACGGCCCTGTGTTATAATCCGCCTAGCAATACGTAAACACATGCAGTCTCATTCTTGCCAAATCTGTAGACAATTACGGTATATAAAGGTTAATTTGCCGGATTTGCCGCTAGCAATTTTTCTTACAGACGCCACGTTTAATTACCGACAAAAGATTTTAGTCAACTGATTAAACCCTAGGGCAAACAAATGATTTCAACGTTTAAGTACTTCCTGGCATTTGTAATGTTTTATTGTTCGACGAATCAGTCTTGAGACGCTGAGAGTGCTACGAAATGTTTATAAGCATGTTTCCTTTTTTTAATACAAAACTGTTGTTTCTATCCTATAATGAATAATCTGTGAATAAAATTCAAAGATCTTAACGGAAATTTCTTTGCTTTGGAAGATTATTAAGTGACAGAGGAATTTGACGCGCGATGCTGTTTATGGATGTGGTAGGGTTTCTTCAATTTCTTGTCACTGCTGCTAATGTAGTGCAAGCTATCGGGCGGCAGCAGTTATCGACCCCCGTCTGCACTTCGGATCTTTGTCATCAAGTTGGTACGTAGAACAGCAGTCAGTTATAAAAAAAACGGTTCAGGAACCAATTTTCTGCATTGCTTGTATTGTTTTCTACATTGAGTCTCTGGTAAAAAATCCATAACTCTGCCGTTGTCAGGCAATACAATTTCGTCTGATAGGCTTTTACCAAGTCGTTAGATATTTTTTAGCCCGTGAAATCATCTCCAAGATGGATGAAACTGTTGATCCGTGCGTGGATTTCTTTGCTTACGCATGCAACCGTTTGAATAGCAGCAACGGTCTTTGGAGCGAAGTGCTCCGTCTCAAGATTTCAAAACAACTTGAAGGTGCGTGCGACAATATATGTGCTGACCGGTACTCAATAACCTGAATGATGAAATTCCTTCGCTTGCCGCCTTTTAATTTTTGAACCTGGTACTAACATTTTTAATGGATTCAGGTGACACGCTCACAAGCCCATTTGGAAACCATTTGCATTGAATAGCGCACAGTAAAGACATATTCCGTCTACTCCAGACTTGATGTAGTGGCGTAGTACTCATAGAGTCACAGTCTATCTCACACTTGTCTACGCAATTGCCTACCTTACACTACAATAGCGTTAACGAACTGTGGAGACGTGCCGAAGCACTTTGAACGGCCATTGGCACAGGCCCACGTTTTTCAATTCATATCCCATGTATAGCGGTCTAAAGATTCCAAATTAATGAGCTTGCATAGAGTTCTAACTTCTATATGTACCAACGAACTGAACTGTTAATCTGCATCGCACGCCGCGAGAAGCTGCAGTAAGTCTTCGTTAAGGAGCAAGAAGAGCGCGCGCGCCGAAGAGAGTCAGCTCAAGTTTATCCATTTTCACATAACCGATTTTATTTCCACTGGTTTGGTAGTGCTCGGCGCACTGATGTGGTAACATCCACGCTAATTTTATTTGTTGGATTAAAATTGTCACGGTTTACCGTTTGTCCGTCGCCCAGTTTTACATGCCATCGCCGGTGGCAACTGCGGTGCATTGTCACCCTTTTTACACCTTGCCGTTTCAAGTTGCGTGCGACAACGTCTGCGCTAGCCGGTGTTTGATAACCCTTAACACTAAATTCCTTTGTTCGATGCCTGTTCACCTGGCGCATTATTTAAGGAATCCGTTCAACAATCGCAAAAGGAATCTAATAGTGATTATTGATGATTTTTATTAGCGCAAGCCAGTCACACTGCAGATTTTGTTAACAACAAAAAAAATGATTTATTATAACAGAAAAATTTCTCTCAAATTATCCGTTAAATCAATGGTTCCAAGGACAGACGCCGCGTTGCCCCGCTGGATTTCGATCGATAGACGCTGGCGTAAGAATTCGTGTGATCGAGGTTCACCCGTGTGCTGCTGCAATCGCTTTCCGATTTCCTTCACTAAAGCGGATGCCGATTTTCCCCAGGGCCCGAATGTTTCAAAAGCTAACGCCGCAAAAATGTATCTGCCGACGAGGTACGCATATTGTCTGGTCTTCCTGTCTTCGGCCTGGGCAGCGGCGGATCCCGCCGCTGTTGAATTTGACTTGATATGCGACAAAGCGACGGTGTCGACGCAGGTGACGTCCCAAGCTAAGCACATGCCACGCTTCCAGGCAAACGTCGTGCATCCGTCCGGACGTCGCTCGGACGTGTGGGATGTGCCGCGGGGCTCAAGCTTCGCCGGGATACCCGCCGATACTAATGATCGGCACACAATACTGTTCAGCCCGCCATGGCGAGGTGTCTACCGACGGAGAAGGAGCATGACAATCCGTGGTGGCCATACACGTCAACTGGTTTGCGGCATTTTGCACAAGAATGTGCTTCACAGATTACTGCGCCCAGCCTAAGCCCGACTGAAATCTTCAAAGTGTCGTCATCGAGTAGGTTTCCGATATGTGCCGAAGGCAGCGCATTTAACCAGATGCCGGCTTCCGGTTTGGACTGGGCAAGGAGACGGGCTCTGTTAGTTTCGTCGTCACGGAAAACATCCAGCAGTGTTGACAGTGACGCATTACACAGCGGTAAGTCCCACGATCGTTGACAGTTTTGGAAGTTGAGTTCGGGAAGATCTGTCTGACCGCTCTTCACTTTCCACTTTTCCCGTGCATCGGTGGAGTCCACAGCAGCGTGATTGGGAAGAAGCAGTGACATTAGTGCAGATGCGGAGTGAATCGAAGCCAGGTAGGCTGGGAGTGCTAATTCTTCCGCTCGACGAATGCCAATGCCACCTCTGCTCACGGGGAGAGACGCCTGCCGCCAACACGGATAATCATTCTTGTTGGTGCGCACATTGCACAAGGTCTGAAAACACTCGCGCGTTACTTCGTCAAGCTGATAAAGCTGTTGCGGTTGCTTCCACGCGTTACAGCACCGTAACATGTACACAATCTTGGGGACACCCAGACAATTCTTCAACAGGAACAGTGCGACATGGGCAGGTAGAAGCTGTAGCCGCTCGCATGCCGTCTTCAACATGGTGGATTTCTCGACAATTGCTGGGCCGATAGCGTCATCCAAAACGGGCGCGCCGAGTAATGAAAATGTTGAGCTAGTCAAGATTCGCAGTTTTGGATACTTTTCAACAAAGTAATCCACGACGTCGTTTTGCTGTTCCACAGTTCCCCCGCCGACAAAAAGTTCACATTTCGCCTCGTTAACAGTCAAACCAATGGCCTGCGCACGTTCTATGACTTCGTCAAAGGCTTGGGCCACTGTCGCCGGCTTACCGCCCATGGTTCCATCGTCCAAAAACCAGGCGTTCAACTCTGCCTTGAGACGGGTCACAACCGGGTGCAAAGCAAGACAAAATAACAGTGGACCTAACGGGTCTCCTTGCTGAACACTAATAGTTGTATAAATCACCTAATAGTTGTATAAATCATCTAATAGTTGTATACATCTAATAGTTGTATAAATCGTACTTGCCATGCACCAAGCTACAACAGGGTACTATATATATATTCTAACAATTTAACCTTCATGGCTATTTGTTGAATTAATACCCATAATTATGAGACAAAAGCGCATCAAGCATGCTTGCAATTGTGCATACCCATACCCTGTTGCATGTCTGATTTTTGTTGAAATTTTTGCGTTATTTTTATTTAGAGCTGTTCGGGAGTGGAAAATACACCAATCGCATGGAAAAAAAAGCAGTGGATATTTACAACCAGTGCATTAACGAGACGCAAGGTAAGCAAAGTTTCTGTACAGATAGAGTAAAGTATCCCTGCTGACGTAATTGGTATTATCTTGTACAAGTTTACGGTGCGCATGTACTTGTGTTCCCTGTTGCACTAGCGATGACGTACTGACGTACTGCCTCCGTGTTCTTATCGGTAGCTTCCGATCAGAAGTTGCGCTTCGTCGCCGGCTAGTAGGGGCTTTGCGTTGCAAATTGTATGTCACATAAGTTAGCACCCATCTATATAAGTAAGACTTCCGGCCGTCGAAATTGGTTTGTCCGTATGGCTTAAAACGAGCTAGTGTGCGGAACGCGCGTAGCTGTGACCAGCTCGCTCATAAACATACAAGAGCCGACCTGATTGCCAGTTAGTCCCCAAAACTTGCAGCACTCTTCTTTCGTTTGCCTTTCAACAGAACTTCTCAATCGATATATAAAAATTAAAAAGATAGAGAATTACATTTCAAACTTTTTGGTATCTAGCAAGTGGAAATCTATGGCACATCAAAACAGTTATGGCTGTTTTGGAGTGTCGTAAACAAAGCATAGGCCCGTGCGAGGAGGCTTTGCTTCCATCCTATGCTAAGTCTATGAGAAACTAAAATAGCCATAACTTTCTTGATTCGCCATAAATATCCACTTGTCAGATACCAAAAATTTTGAAATTTAATTTTTTATCTTCTGATATGTCGACGGGTAAGATCCGCTGAGAAGCAAACGAAAGACGAGCGCTTAAAATTTCGAGATCGACTGGGCTACTTGTATGTAAGCATGCAAAGGGGTGGAGTTACAGGCTTACACGTAAGGGCCTTACGTGGATGGTTTTTTGGCACCGCCTTCACACACGCATACATCTAATTTGCGCGGCAGCGAATCACCGCATTGTGTGTTCGGCCATGGCGTAACCTGTATTGACAGGTTCTTAGTTGCGTAGCATACAAGCAGCAACGCAAAGCCCGGAGTATCTCCGTTCCTAGCTAGCACTGTTAATTACCTTGTAATTACTTTTTTTGCCCGTGCTCGGGATGACAGGCATGTGTACTGGTCCGGTTGCTTATCGCAAATTAAAAAATGCTGTGAAGGACACCTCACTGGATAAGTAGCCGAACTGACGCCGTTTAACAAACTCATAGACGGGAAATAAAAATTATTGTGGAATAAGAGAAAGGCCGTTAGACTGAAGCGCATTGTTTACGGGGCTGCTCACACTGTTTGTCAGGTTATGATATTTTTGTGGAGTGTCACGTGCTCAAACGATGGATGTCATAAGTTCAAAAGATGTGGGATACATTCAGTTATCACCTAGAAGTCGAAATACGTTCCACGTTTTCAGTGAAAGTGATCAATATTAAACAATGTTAAGACTCAGACATCTTTCAGCGGTGGCTGGTATACCGATCATCCAACCGCTTTGACTCAGCGAGAATTCTTCAGTTATGAATCATAAAGATCAGCTTAACCAATAATAAGCATTACTGGAGCAGATGTAAGGGTAGTGTTTGAAAGCGGTTGTCTGTGCTCTGTATCAGAACATACCGGCACGTGAAAGTGTATGCAAAGTGCAGCAGAGCATAGGATGTGTGGCCGGCACTGGCATGATGGGAAGAGGTTCGTGCAGCAACTAAGGATATCACTTTCTTTTACAACCAGACACCAGTCTACGTATTTCTTTTATCAGCGTCTAGAAATGTATCCTAACAGGAAGAAGGAAGCGCTGGACGCAATCGATCAGGTCATTTTGCAGGGTGCGGTGGAGTATTTGTTAGAGGCACCATCAGATTTAGATAGCAGTTTTTCTTCTTTGTTCAGCGAGGATTCAGTATTTGACGATTGGTCATCAGACGAAGATCAGCTTATTTTACCTTTGCAACTTCGATCTTGTGTGGAGAATGCCAGATATATTGCCGAGCGGGAATCGTTACCGAAAAGCACCGATTTTGTTCAACGCATTTTGCCGCAACTTCCGGATCACATATTCCGTCGACAAATAATTGACCGGAAATCAGTCACAAACCTCAATTAAAACAATTAAATATGCAGAACTCGGCGTCAAATTGTTGAGTGAAATAAATCCAACTTATGAATTTTTGCAACTGCTGTTTTTGGCGCTATTTTTGTTATGACAGCTTGTACTGTTTGTTAGCTGCATATGCTGATGACGGGTAAGTTCAGAAAACGGAGCTCTTTGGGCTGTTATCTTGAGAACGTGCCGTATGATTGTTTTGACCATTCGGAGCGCAGCGTGTGATGACACATCTTACCGACGGTATCTGCTGCGCTTTATGCAGAAAAAACCCAACGGCTTTTACATGATACCCGAATGTCTGACTTTTCGTAATGTCTGCAAGTAAGCAAGCGTAACTGATCTTCTATTTGTACTTGGTGGTCGCGGGAGTGTTCTCATTTCGCCCGATGCTTCAACATAGGGAGCGTATGCCAGCACATATTGGTACACGCACTCTGTATGCTGCAGCTTTCATCTGTCCGCGGCCACCTATCGAAAGCCGGTTACGCTTGCTTTACCATAAATTCAGTTTCGTTTGGACACCGTTTAATATTGATTACTTACCAGGGCACATAGGGGTCCTCCAAATTCAGAAAAATTTCATATTTTGTAAAATGGTAGTATACTATCGTAGTATGGTTAAAAAAATATTTTCATCTGCCATGGTCAAGAGGGCGTGGCCAGACAGCATGTAAAAGTTTGCATATTATCGCATACTATGCAGTGCAGTGAGTGGAGTTATTCGTAATTAGTTTTATATTAAATTTTTACTGTAGCACCGTGAACTTTTGCAGCTGTCGAGTGGTGATGTAAACGAAGACCACGTGCGGCGACTCGTGTCACTGCTGCCTAAATACACATTTTCGAAAATCTGTTATGAAATGCAGTACGAGGACAGGCTTAGTATTCGCGATCACCTAAAAAACTAGCGAGAATTCGCGATCACCGTGCCCGGGTTGTGCAGAACAGCCAGTCACCAGCCAGCCACCAAGAGGAGGCACCCCACACAACCATTGGACTGGACTGCCTTCCTTTGGTGGCTGGCTGGTGACTGGCTGTTCTGCACAACCCGGGCACGGTGATCGCGAATTCTCGCTAGTTTTTTAGGTGATCGCGAATACTAAGCCTGTCCTCGTACGAGTACATATCTGCTAATTAGTAAAAGAAGTTTTTTGCACGGTTTACTCGTACATACAATTCTAACTGATAAAAAATTTTCGAAAATGTGTACTGGCAGCAATGACACGAGCTGCCGCACGTGGGCATCGTTTACATCACAACTGGACAGCTGCAAAAGTTCACGGTGCTACAGTAAAAATTCAATATAAAACTAAATACGAATAACTCCGCTCACTGCATTGCATAGTATGTGATAATACGCGAACTTTTAAATACTGTCTGGCCACGCCCCCTTGGCCATGGCAGATGAAAATATTTTTTTAAGCATACTACGATAGTATACTACCATTTTACAAAATATGAAATTTTTCTGAATTTGGAGGACCCCTATGTGCCCTGGTTAGTTTTCTGGCATTTAACAAATTGCCCTGAACCACTGTTGCAGAGTGCCTCCAAATGTGCGTGACCGTGGTAGTCTCATGCCGTACAAATGTCACGCCAAGTTCAGGGTAGCAGTATGCTGCTTGCATAACAACTGTTTCCATTTGATTCCAACTAAATCTTTCTACCTAATGCGAAAGACGCAGAACGGCAGAATGTCCACCGTTATCTTGCTTTCTCTACAGATAGGGGAATCGACGTCCACCGTCTCTTGCGCGCTATTGATGATTTGTTTGCTGGGTGGTCGCTATTAAAAAACAATCCCAATGTGTCCGCTTTCCGCCTGAACGACGTTCTCCTCCGTCTGCAACAGAACAACATTCAGACCATCATTTATTTATCCGTAGAAAGAGACGATTTTTCCAGCGACCAGAACATCCTCTTCTTCAGGATGCCTGGCCGCCTTTATAACCGGTGGGAACTTTGCGCCCATTACCCAAATCCATGCAATGCAACTGGGCAGTTGATGACCATATGGAAGACTATTGTCCAACGTTTGATGAAAGTGACCAATGCAAGTGTCCAGTGGTCAACAGTGGAGAAGCGGTTGGAGAAAGTTCTCATGTTGGATTTTACGCTGGCAACGGTGCAAAATGTGATTTGAAAATCCAAGGTTCCATAATTCTTTCGGAGTTTTCTCGGCTCTTCTGTTTTTCGATTGTCTGTTGTTTTTTCACAAGTTTATTTTTTTTTTGTCTGATTCTTTTAAGACTAAAATTTTTAGATAACATTGAATAATTATTTTTCAGGATTTTTGTTTGTTTTCATTTCGTTTTTATTCTCGGTTTCCATTTTGCAATGATTTTATGCAAGATTCTTGTTTTGCTTCATTTTTAACTCATGTTTTACGAGTACATATTTGAAATTCGTTTCAGTTTATAACGGCAATGGTGCGAACCGTGATTTGTAAACCTACTGAATCCCTAAACAAACCGTTTCTTTTTTCAACTTTTCTATTTGTTTTGCTTGTTTTTCTGGTTCTTTGAATTTTTATTTATTTCATTTCACCAGTAAAAGTAAATTTTTTTTAGATTCCAAATGGAACGATGGACTTTCTAAGGCGTAAAACGTTTGGTGATCTTGGGAGACCACCATACCGCTCGCGATTTCTAGCAAGCTTCTTGACGCTGTTCAACAACATGCTTAATGCGTCTTCGGTAAATTTTCGAGCCACTGCTGCTACACAGTTTGGGGCCCCGCTCTCAGAGTATCTCATCAAGCTGGATCAAACGATGGCGCAGCTGGAACGGGACGGGGATGTGGGACTTGCGACACTGGCCGATTGGCTGTGGTGGATAGCGCTAAATCATTATTACCTCGTATATCAAGAGGCTTACCACTGCGTGAAGTTGGTAAAAACAGCCATGCCGTTGACTGTTTCGCGGATGTTCTTCAGAACATATGTACCAAACGAGGTCGTCCAAAAGGTCAAGCACACGCTTATTTGTTGATAACCAAATTCGCTGAGAAATTAAAATAAGGGTCTGCTTTTTGCGCTCAACAGGCCAAAGAGCTGACATCCGAAATTGTAAACGGGGTACGCGACGCAGTTCTGCTCAAAACAACCTGGATGGACATGGGAACAAAAGAAACCGCCATGGATCGGCTGAATCATACGCTGCGGAATGTAGGATATCCCGAGGAGTTCTTGAACAACTGGACACTTATCGATGGCCTCTACGCAAAGGCTAGTTAACCTCCTTGAACGCTCCGCTACTCTTTTAAAACAAACTATAAAGTGTGAAAATAAACCGGATCCCCTAAGTAACACTTTGCTTTGGTTTGGGTAACGGGAAAAGAGTCACTAATAAAAAAAAAAGAAAACATCAAAAATAATAAGACGTGCTTATTTACGTACTACTGAAATCATTCATGGTGATTTTTGCCGCATACATGCGGTAACAATGACCATGAAATGAAGGGTGCGAACGCTATTATGTTTGCAGGTGCAAATGGGAAACAGTCACTAATCGACCAAACGAAAACGTTGTTGATGTGTTTGTCAACATAGTAAAGAAAGGGACAAAATGCGACAAAAATAACCGCGAAATAAACATCTGAAAATGCTGTCACATTTGTAGGTTCAAGTGGGGAAGTCATTATACGAGACACTGCGCAACATTGATCAAAGCAGCAGCTGGATTAATCTCCAAAAGCTTGCTCGATCTAACGCCCGCAGTGACCCCTTTTGCCCGGCCGATTTAACCGAAGTGTTCGCCAAGTTTTACTCGGACATCAACTATATCGGTATCGCTCTAGCTTGTTGATTCTTGAAACTATTTTCCTCATTATTTCTTTACATATGATTATTTTTCAACGATGCGGGTACAGGTTTTAGAAATGTTTTGGAAAAGGAAGATACTGTTTAAAAACCTTATTTTGCTTTCCAACAAACAGTTCTACATTTCCATTTTTTGTACCCTTGTTTTTCTGTTTTCTGTTAGTCATCTGCTTTCTACTTGTGATTCCCTCATTCGCTCTTCCTGCTTTGCTCGTAGAGACTGAATTACTAGGCGGCTTAAAATGATCAAATGATTGACTCTGCAGTTATTCCGGAGTCACTGTTACAACCACCAATCTTGTACCCAAGCAACTTGGACATTTTTAACTACGCTCGCTTTGGTTATATTATTGGGCACGAATTTACCCATGTTTTGGATATCGGAGGTAAGTACGGATTTCTTGAAGAAGAAACACGTTCGTCCAACTTACGTACGTAATTGTAATCTTGTTTCTAGTGAAAGAGTTTGACACGGAGGGCGGCAAACCGTTTTACTGGTGGACAAATGCGACACAGAACAATTATCATGCGAGAAAATACACTTTAGTGGATTTTTACAACAATATCAGCACGAAGAACGACAGCATCGATGCACGGCAAACTCTTATAGAAAATACTGCCGACAATGGCGGATACCGCGCTGCTTACTTGGTTATTATTTTCGATTTTTTAACGAAAATTCGAGTGCAGGTAAGGAGTACTTCTTCTGCAGGCTTTTCAAGACTTTATGCGCCGCACGGGATACCGCATCAAACTACCCGGATTAGAAGCCTTAAATGAAAGCCAGCTGTTCTGGCTGATAGGGGCTCAGGTGACCCTTGCAAGCGGTCATGTCCGGGTTATGACGGTGAGCTAAAGCGGAAACTGTTTTCAGGCATGGTGCACCAGTCCTTTATTAAAAAATTATGACGAGAAGCACGGGCCGAACCGATTCCATGTGATGGGACCGTACATGAACAGCGAGGATTTCGGTGCAGATTACAGGTGTCCACTAGGAACTCCAATGAACCCGCGGATGAAGGCGTGGTAGAGATGGCTTCATCGTTTGATTAGAAGTTTTTGCTGTAAAGTGGTGATAGGCGATAAAAACAGATGATCACTACCAACATCAAAATCGGCAAATGCTACAGCCGTTGCAAGAACACGAGCGCACGTACGAGTACCACCGACAGCGGAATCCAACTTGTTTTTCAACAGCTGAACGCCGATGAGCAAACAACAGCAAAATCGAAAAAATGAGCGCATTTCACTTTCATTAGTGATCTACTCTTTCTTTAACAATAATTATAGGTGTCGTCAAAAATAATTATGATGGGCAACCGATAACCGAATTCCCTAACCGAAACGGCGTATGGCGCAAATCAAAACTGGCCAACAATAAAATACAAACAACGAAGTGAATTTCACTAGTTTATTACAGTATACATAGTACGGTACTTACATATCATGCCTTCATTTTCAATGGCAAATAGCTCGCCATAAAACTCGTATCTCTGCAGTTGCTCTCCAAAGGGAAAACTACATGACATATAAACTGCTTGCATCGTACCCACTTGCTTAGTTTTTGTGGTTGGTAAACTTCCGCTTGGTATTTTTGTCGTGAATAAATAAAACCAAATCTTTATTTTTGACCAGTGCAGGCCATTCAAAGGCTTTATCCAGCTATTAACATCGCGCAAATACAGTTGCAGTAAGATGTAACTCTTGTTACTGCCGAATGGTTGGCCATACAGTCAGTAAAGTTATAAAGAGTGGACCAAAATGTAAGTACTGAAGCATGAATTTATTTTAAATATTATTTTATGACTACCTTCTCGTAAAAACTGTAGTACTTTTTTCCGTAGTCGGAGTTATAGATACGAGTATTCTATTTCCAGCCTGCTTTGTTCTGTCCGCAGGCGTTGACAGCAGTCATTCATTAATTAAAAATTAATTAGCGTAATTAACGTTGGTTTCCGGTTGTTCACTGTCCGGAAGCTGGAATTTAAAAATTCTGTAATTCAGCTTAATGTGTACAAGTATTTCCACAAAGGCGAACACTACCGGTATATGGGCGGCGAAGGCTGCCTGTTTAATTGCCGTTACTGCCGGGAAATGCTGGGGTGCGATCCGGGATATATCTCCTTCAGTGAATCCATCAACGACCAGGTCAACACAATCAACTTGACTACCGTGAAGTAGTATCTGCTGCTGTCGGCGGCATTTCTTTGCTCGGGTTAGTTATCTATGGTTAGAGCCCAACTGTTAGTTTTTATTTATTATTATTTAATTTAGTACTGTATTGTATGATACTGATACCAGTCTTTTCTTCTTTTGGTGTCGATAGGCAGTGATTGATGTGCGTCTTAAACGTTATTTTCCCAATCCATATTGCGTCTATGCAGTAGCTACCTAATAAGTTTTGGAAGTTTTTCCTTGTCTATAATTCGAAGGTGTCATGTGCGAGTAGTATCTGTATAGAAGTTATTTCCAGACTGCTCACATCGTCTTACAATCTTTTTAAGTCTTCATCTGTGATTGTTGTCTTGTTCTACAAACCGGTGAACTTTTACAAGCGACAAAACCGGCATACACTGGAAACAAGACGAAACCAATCATCATCGTCTTCGCTAATTGTTACTGTCAGCACGACAAACTACGGATCAATATCCATTTAATTTCTGTAATTTCCGGTCACCGTCAGAGCCGTGTTGTGTGCGGACGATACCGGAACGCACCTTCTGAACGGCATGGAATTGCCACGGTGGCTGATTAAACCGTACCGAGCTGTTAGACTGTTATAAGGATTAGTCGTTCGACTGTTATAAGGATTAGGCACGTCACGCTCTTCCATTTTACTACTCGCCTGTGATTCAGTTGTTATTCTGGTGGAGAGAGCGCTAAAGGAAGCCGTTGAAAGGGACACGCTACCGTTGGGATTTGCCAACTAAGGGGCTTCTTTTTAATCTGCTGCTATCAAGAAGTTTATTTGTGGAATCTGCCACTCGCCATTTCCTGCATACTTATGCAGAGAAACAATCCTTACTCCTCTGATTTGCGTTGAAGTTATAATTCGTTTACGACACTTACAATATAATTTTATACGCTTGACCAACCCATTCTACATTTTACATTACACGGTTTTAAATAGTGCCACTACTGACCTTGTACATTTTTCTTCAACTGGAAAAACGCATGGCTAACCCGGCTAACCCGGCACCTTCCTTTAAATGCACACCGGAAATCATTTTTTCGTGTGATACTTGCGGCAAGTCCACATTCCGGCACGGACCGTTACATGACGGTAAACAATGCGCGAAATGTGCAGCGGTAAGCCGGTGCTGCGTGATTAGCGGATACATGATCTGCTGTATACGTATAGATGCACACAACTATTATTAATTTTTGCCATCACTGCACTAGTGTATTCTGTTATTCTATAACCTAGTTCTGTTTCCAATGTGTTTCGGAGTAAGTAGTAGAATTTGTTCATCATACCATCAGTAACAACAATAATCAGATTCGTGCAACGCATGTATTTCAGAGAATAAGCACGTTTCGGCATTAGTACATCAAACCCTGTGGTTGGAAAACGAGATTTTTGGTGTACCATATTCTGCCATAATAATTTTATGAGCATAAGAACCAATCCGACTACGAGCGAACAGACTATTCGTACCGGCTGTTTGAGCTGGGTGAATCAAACACCAATCGATTGACAAATCTAACGCACTTAACCCATTCAGAATAATATGCTTGAACAAATTTTTGTTTGCAGGCTTCCGGTAAACGACCCCACACGGTTTCCATACTGCATGATCCGCAAAATTTCCTGCAAAACACCGGTAACTGTCTGTGGCGCAAAAAGCATCGAACGCAGGATACCACTGCGCCACCAGCCCGCGCATCATCATCTCGTGCGAACTTGATCGGTGTGTACAGGCAGACGCACAAACAGAGATGTTCATACAGTGTCTTCTTTCATAATTACTGCCCATGCTTACCTTAAGACTGATAGGTGTCATCTTCAGGCACAGCGCGAGCACATAATGAGCAGTTATGTAGAAAAGGAGAATTTGCCATCTGTCAGAATTAACATGACGATAACACTCTCGTTTTAACACGATGCTGTACACCATATGAGATACATATTAGGTAGTGCCTAATATCTTGTATTGGATCCAGAGTTGTCTGTACAGTAATATCGTACTACAGGATCCGACTTCAGAATTTTAGCAGCCCCTCCGCGTTTCTGTATGTCTTAACGGAATTACAAAGTACAAATATGTACACATGTGGAATTACAGACATGTGCGCTGAAACAATACACATTTACACATAATATCAAATCGTCGCAAGTGCATAAGTAATTCGTTGTGTTATATTTTTTCAGACGTCACGGTTATGAGTACCGTAATTGGTCCGCACCAATACTAGGGGTGGTTTTGCAGGTGCTAAAGGTGTTTCAGTTAATGCAAGAAGCAGCACAGCCTCGCATACGGTAACTCCAGCGTCTAACACAGTCATCCTCGGAGAAAGTGGTCACTTCAGCACACACAACATTAAATTTTGTCCAACAGCCCCAGCAGCTATCCGCGATCTGGTGCGAAGTTGCGGTTAGTATGATAAGTGTGCGCGCCTGTTTTTTAATTTCGAGACCGCATATTATCCTGGCCTTGCTGCATTTTTTACCGAGGATCATAAATTGTAATCTCGTTCAAGCCGACCTTCATTCGTATTTGTATGTGCTGTAGTCATGGAAAGTACAAAATAGTAAATAAAGAAAATGCAGAGTATCTCATTTCATATGAAACTGACCTTCGATTTTCAGATATGGGTACACAATGCGCCGATTTATTGCCGGTTGCGGGGCCCGATCTGCTGACCCATTCGGCCGTCTTACCGCCCATCGTTATCCGTTTCTGGGATTTGGCCCGAGAGCACAGCATCAGCTTCCAACAAGCTGCTGGCAATGTTTGTGCAGCGTGCGACGCGGCATATGGTGACCAGATTGCGGTGTACGACAGTTTTATGAAGGCAGCGCTGTGTGAAGGATTAATACCAGTACGTGTTACTAGAACTGATAAAGCACTGTATGTATAAGTTACAGTACAGCGAAATGGATTAACGAAATGACACAATGTTATCAGATGTACTTTGGGTTTTTATGGTGACCTTTTGTCATAATCACAGATTACATTTTTGTACAGTCCTAAAATCTTGGGTAACTGCATCTAATAACATTTTTGGCTAATACCACGTGTTTGTCTGTAAATGTGCACATACATGTATCTGTACATAGACAAAAACTTTGCAAAATCTGGAGTTTTTCTTTCGCTGTAGCACCAACCGCAAACAACTCTGGCCCGTGCTGCCCAGGCTTGTCAGCGTGCTGTTGTGGATAATGCGAAGCGTATAGGACATTTCGCGTCAAGTATTCCGGTGTTTCGCGATTTCCCGAATGAAGACCAGCGTATCCTGCTAATGGAAAAGTTTTTCGTATGCAGCATGGTACAGATATGTGCGCTCGCATATAGTTGTCATATTATTTCTGCATCGAGGTCATCGTTCTGCGCAAGTGTGTATAGGAAAATCGGAAAGGTGATAAAGCTTTTGTTCCTAGAATTTTTCATCTTTCTAGCGACAAATAGTTAATTTCATCATTATAATCGACGAATCGCTTTACCGCACTTGTAAGCGTGTGAGAATAAAAATATGCACTTGTTATCGTACATTTATACGATTGACTGGCTACCTGTATGTGGAGCAGCATAAGCATATTCTAAAAATTAAATATGATATGCTTTGTAGATCCATGCTAGCAAATACTTCTACAAAGGTGACAGATATTACTGTATGCCTGGAGAGGACAGCGTGCAGAACTGTAAGTACTGGATCGAGGTGTTGGGTTGGGATCCTGACTTCATGCACTTCAACGACTGCTTCTTCGCTGCGGTAAACGATATCGGTCTGACCCACACCGAGCGATATCTCCTGCTAACCGTCGCTTTATTTTCTCCCGGTATGCCAACTACCGACAAAAAATATTGTGCTGTAAAGATTAGTGACGTCAGTGACCTTTCTTCAGATGTCACACACGTGTCCAGCATTACCAAGCGCACCATGGAATGCAGTTACGCGTACTTTTTGAGCGTGCTGTATTATCTTCTGGGCCATCGTCTCAGCGTCGATGAACGGGAGACGGTGTACAAGAAACTGGAAAAGGTCATCCGTCAGTTCCCCATTATCGACAACCTGTCAGTGAAGTATCTCAGCAGTGTAAATACCAGCGCGGCACCGCTGCGGCCACGGAGCTTACTATCGTTCAAGGAATGCTTGCCCGAAGATGCCAAGGAAACATAAATGAATCCGCGTCAGAGAAAAGTATTGATTTTGTTGTGCGCCAGGCAGTCTGACGGTATGCGCCATATACAGCTGGCGTCACGAAGTACGCCGGCTGGTTAAAACAGCTGGAGTTTTTATATAATAATCCGTGTAAATAATAGAGATATAATTCCCGTGATAAATTTTTTATTACTACACTGAAATTTGTTATTTATGTCAGTAGTGGTTACTTTTTACTGTTTAATTCCTAACAATTAAGCTTACTGTTCTAATTTTTTCAGTCTAGAACGTAAATGAGATTTAACGTTGTGCAACGCGGAAGTAGTATGATCAATACACCATACGATATGAATAGTATACACCATAGTCATACAGATACCGCTCGAAATCTCAAATACACAGCCTGAAAATGCGCAGAGAAGCTTCAGTGGTCTATAGGTGTAGCGATTGTCATCAAATGAAATTTTTATCACAACGGCCCGTGCTGGAGCGCTGAGTCTGACCCCTAAAAGGCTGAGTCTGGCAACTGACTATTAAAATGCTGGATTTTCCTAAGAATGCTAAGGTAATATCTTGATGACTTTAAAACTTAACCAGAAATTTGCGACATATTGTCCAGCGAAACCCCGTATTACATGCAACACTAAAACCAGCCAATGTACAAGTGCTTGCTGCTATGGTTATGCACATCATTCCACTTTCCCGACTCCCCGGAGTGGTACCAGACTCAGACTTTAAGTACTCAGTACATTCATTCCCGACCACTTGGCACCGTGATCAATTCGTGATTAGTATCATTAGGATCCTCAGGAAGTCTATAATTTGTTTTAAAAATCAAAGCATCCCTAAGTTAATGACTGGAATTTAAAGAACTCAAATAAACCAACGCGGATGTGATGGCTGATCAAAACGATGGTAGACGCTATACGCAGCTGTGTGCCGCATACAACCAACATAACCCAGCACGATTTAATTACAGATAGATGCTCTACTAACCAAACTGTCCGGTAGAAAGAAAACAAATAACGAGAATCGTGTAAAATCGCCAGGCGCTGGAATGCTATAGCTTTCAATACATCCAAAAAGGCTAGCGACATTACTGTATATTTAAAATCTGCAAAAAACTTACATAAATAATCTTAAACGAATCTCCACGACCACGAGACTAATTACCTCCGCTTCTTGATTTCGCGAAGATTACGTCAACACATGCAGGGTCTTACATGCAGAATCTGTAGATAATTATATAAGTACTAATTTCCCGGATTTGCCGCTAGCCATATTTTGAAACGCCGCATTTAGTTAGAGAATAAAGACTTTGGTAATCCCCTAGGGCAAACAATTGCTTTCAACGTCTAAGTATTTCCTGGCATTTAAGCTGTCCTATTCTTCGAAAAATCCGTCTGGAGAAGCTGTGCTGGTTTAGAATGTGCGGCGACAATTTTTCTTGTATTTCCTATTTCCTACTGTTTCCTCTCTTTTTATACAAATTTTGTTTCGTTTCCGTATTCCGCGAATAATTTTCAGAAATCGTTACTGAAATCTGCTTGTTTTATTAGGTCGCTAACTGACAGAAGAAGTTGGCACGCGATGATTTTTTTGGATGTTGTAGGATTTTTGGTCGCTGCTGTTAATGTAGTACGACCTACCGGGCGGCAGCAACTGTCAAGCCCCGTTTGCACGTCGGATCTCTGTCATCAAGTTGGTAAGTCGAACTGCGATCTTTGTTGAAAAATAGATTTTGAAACAACATTCCTTCACTGCTGTCCTTTTCGTGCCCTACAATTAAATTTGGTAGTCTTTTACTGATTCGTTTGTGATTTTTTAGCCCATGAAGCCGTATCCGTCATGGATAAAACAATTGAGCCATGCGTGGACTTCTACGCTTACGCATGCAATCGTTGGAATAGCAGCCACGTTCTGGCGCGCGACGTGCTCGCTATCAAGATCTCTAAACAACTACAAGGTTCGTGCGAGAACATGTCGGTGACGGGTTTTCAAAAACCCCCAGCTCTGTGTCCCTTTGATTGGATTCCTTTTATCCCTGCCGCTTTGCTAACTTCCGCTTACAGTCGTCATTGACTATAATTAATTGTATAATTTCTGTGCTTCTGTGTGATATTACGAGATACAGCATGATTTTGTATATTTCAGTGAACAGAACCTTTCATTATATCGCTTTCGGAATAAGACTGATAAATACAAGCTGTAACGCACCAAGCGTAATGAAGCATGGCTGCATTTTGTGTACTATATTCTGGAAAACAACTGAATTTCGTTGAAAATTGCTTTATTTAGGACTGTTCGACAGTGGAAATTACACCAACCCCACGGAAAAAAAGCAGTCGACATATACAACCAGTGCCTCAAGCAGAACTATGGTACTCAAAGTTAATGTAAAGTAGTTATGCATTTGAAAGCGAAATTCGTACGGCGTGAGTTGTTCTACAGTGTCGACATCATAATTACTCGTATATAGTAAAATTAATGATTAAAATGCAGAACGAACTGGACGGGTTGGTCCAAACCAGTTTGCCGACGGTATATATGAATTATGAACATCCTCATACGACGAACGAACGATCATCGTTAAAACATGAACTTCCATGTTTTTTGCATTACTGCTTGCTTAGAAAGAAGCGTATCGGCAAGAAACAAATGCATTCTTACAACAAGCTCTTGCATTTGGTTCAAGTAAAACCGATTGTAATGGTGAGCACATAAAAAGTTAACCAATATCTTATCTTGTCGACAGAACGGCCATTCGACGACAGCTCCCTTGTACGCGTTGTTGACAACTTGTTAGGTGGATGGTCGCTATTGCAAGACCACCAGAATGTGTCCGCTTTTCGTCTCGATGACGCTCTCGTCCGCCTGCAACTGAACGACATTCGGACTTTCAGCGGTCTCCATGTAGAAAGAAATAAATTTTCCAGCAACGAAAATATTCTGTACTTTACGACGCCTGGTCGCCTCTTTATGCGCTGGGAACTAGAGGCACTGGTCAACACTCCTTACAAGTTACCTGTTCGCACTTCAACAAAGCTTCTGATTAACAAATGGGGGCCGGTCGTACTGCGATTACTAAAAGCGGCGAATGCAAGTGTCCAGTGGTCTACTGTTGAAAAGCGATTGAAAAAGGCTATCATGGTGGATGTTATGCTGGCGACGGTGGGAGCTCTTTTGAATATACTTCATTCATTTACGGATTTTTTGCCATTTATTTTTAAACCTAGTTGTTTCCAAGGCTGTCTGTATTCTTCTTTTTTCCCATTATTTCAATTTCAAGTTTTTGTTTTATAACCTTTTTGTCCTTCTCTGATTATTCGGTTTTTTTATTTCTTCATTTTCTCTTTGCTTTCTTGCTTTTCTTCGTTTCTTTATTTTTTCAACATCATTCGTTTTTTAGGGTCCAACACAACCAACACCATGCTTAAAGCTTCTTCGGTTAAATTTCAAGCTACGGCCGCTACGGAGTTTGCCGTCCCGCTAAAGCTTGAGTATCTCCTTAATCTGGATCAGACGATGGCGCGGCTGGAAAGCAACGGGAATACAGGAGCTGAGACACTTGCAGATTGGCTGTGGTGGACAGCAGTTTTTCACTATCACTTTCTGTATCGAGGGACTGGCACTTGCGTGGGACTGGTGAAAGCAGCCATGCCGTTCACTGTCTCAGGATTATTCTTCAAGACTTACGTATCGAGCAAAGCCGTTCAAAAGGTCAGGCACAGGCCTTTTTCATTGCAAAGCAAAATAGTTCAAGACATAACTTGTGCAAATGCGGCATCCTGCTGAATAGCCACAGCCAAATGATGGAATAAATTAACGGCTTTCTGCCTTCGACAGGTGGACTTGCTGACATCTGAAATTGTCAACGGTGTTCGCGACGCTGTCCTACTGAAAACGGTCTGGATGGACCAGGCAACGCAAAAATCTGCCACGGACAAGTTAATTAATACGCTGCGGACTGTCGGGTATCCCAAGAAGTTCCTAGACAACCGGACGCTCGTTGAAGACCTCTACGCCAAGGCAAGTTAATCTTTGGCATATTTCCAATCTTTTAAAAACGAACTTCAAAGCGTACTGTATTGACAGAGAGAGAGAGAGAAAGAGAGAGACTAGGTCCCCTCTGTAAGAAGCTTGGGGTACGAAAGCGGTAACACGGATAAGCGATGACTTACAAAAATAACTGAAGCAGTTAAATCTAAAAGTACAGCGACGTCGCTATGACTTTATAGAAGTGGATCCAACTACCATGAAATGCACCCAGGCGAATACTGTCATGTATCTAGGTTCACGTAGAAAGGTCATTCTTCGACACACTGCGTACCATTGATCGAAGCAACACTTGGGTCAATTTTCAAAAACTTTCCCGCATCAACCCCCACAATGACCCGTATTTTGTGACCGATCTGACCGCGCTTAACCCCCATACGTACCCGGAGAATAATAATATTGGTACCTTCCTGGCTTTTTATCTTTAGCTTTGTTTGGCTTGATTACTCAATGCTCAGTTATTTCTAATCGCCGTTATGAAGCTGTTCACCCATTTTATCGTTTTTGAACTTATTTACAGCGTTCATTCGCTTTCCAAATAAACATTTGTCCATTGAAATTTTTATGGTTGCTGTTTATTTTGTCTCTTGTACTTTTTGCTTCAAATTTTACATTATTATTATTTCTGCTTCCTGTACGACAATGTGATTTACAAGCACTTGGTAATCTAGAGGATCCGCTTTGCAGTAATTCCGGCGGCCCTGTTACAGCCACCAGTGTTCTACGCAAGCAACATGTACATTGTTAACTATGCTCGCTTTGGTTCTCTAATTGGCCACGAACTCACCCATCTCTTGGATATCGGAGGCGAGCATGGATGTTTTGAGAGAAAACGATTTCCCTCAAAAATTAATTATAAATGTCGTGTTTAGCGAAAGAATTTGGAAAGGACGGCAAGCCGTTGAATTGGTGGACAAATGAGACACACAACAATTGCAATGCGAGGAAGTATACTTTGGTCGATTTCTATAACAATGTCAGCACGACGAATAACACCGTCGATGGATGGCAAACACTCGTCGAGAACACAGCCGACAACGGCGGATACCGCGCTGCTTATTGGGTTATCACTTTTATTTTTTCAACTGAAAATGTACTGGGCACGTACAATGATGCTTTGCAGGCTTTCCATAATTTTAGGCGCCGCTTCGGATACCGCATAAAACTGCAAGGCTTAGAATCCTTAAATGAGGAGCAACTATTCTGGTTAATAGGGGCTCAGGTGAACTTTTGTGGGGTTTAAATCGGGGCACAGCTGCAGTAAAAGATTTTTTAGACGTGGTGCGGCAATCCCCAGGCAACTGGCGACGCAGCACATGCACCGCTCCGGTTTCGTGTAATGGGTCCGTTCATGAACAGCGCGGATTTCGGTTCGGCCTACAACTGTCCGGTGGGATCCCCGATGAACCCGCGGATTAAGGCGTGGTAGAGAAGGTTTCATTTTTAGAGATGGTTTACTACTTCATTTAAGCAATGGTTACCGTATAGAGGTAAAAGCTGATAACATCGGATGGTCCCTATAAATCGGCAAATGCAACAACGGCCAACCCGATGCGCGAATCAGAAATAACGAAATCCAGAATAGTTTCGCAGTTCACAGTTCTTGTATTGATTATGTTTTCGACTTTTCCATCGTGCTTTCCATGCCTGGTTAAATTTGCTGATTGTTGACAGCTATTAGGGATACAAGCCCGTTGCAAAAAGACAATAATATATTCATTGATAGTACCAATATTATTATTGCTAGCGGTGGTTGTTAACCATATTCTGGCACGAGAGCGAGCGCCAATGCCACTGGATAATGGCACTGGGTTTATGGAGTTCGAAAAGCGCTACATGACGCTCTTCGTGGCGTCATATAAATTTTATGCTCTTGATGATCAGTACATTCAGTTCTTAGCAGCACCGCGCGTTTCGCGCTCGGTGCAGTTTATTAAATTTTAAATAACTGAAAACTGGTTAGGGAATAATATCACAATTGAGCAGTAATATGCACAATGACTTTGCATTATTTTACTGCACATTGTAGCATACTCATTAATTGCTGGTACTTATTAGCAATTCCTTAACGAAAACGACTGCAAAAAATCCGGTGAACCACCGAATGCAAACAATAATCATGTGCACTTTAAAACTGTGTAGTACATATCTGTTACAAGAAACGGCTTCGGCTTTGCCTCCGCATTTCTTGTGGTCTGCGGTCGGTTTCTCGAATGATTTTGATTAATTTAGTATCACTGCGTCCACTATTTGCGGTCACTATATGCCCTAAACAGTTGTGTCACTTGAGTTTTTTACCACCTATCACGATTTGCGCTCAAGAAAATAACGGTAATTTGGTCACTCACTTGATCAGTCGCCTCTGCGCATTGGACAGTACTGGACACTGTTCCCTCACAATGTGCAATAAACAGTAGTGGTACTTCGGCTACTCACCACCACTCGTTTCGTTACCCACCTAGCGAACGGTGCGCAAGGGTTATTTTTAGTAGGTCGGTCATCCACTTACCTACTGGCCTCTGCAGCTACACACGAGAATAGTGGTACTTCGGTCGCTCACTATGTGCAATTCCAGTTGTAGAGCTCTGTTACTCGTTCGTCACCACTCGTTTGGTTACTCACTCACCTAGCGAGCTCTGTGCAATGGAGAGTAGCTGTAGTGCTGTTACTAGACAGGTTAATTTTTTCTTTTGGCTGATCGCTGAACGCTGTTAAAATTGCAGTTGCGCAAAATTAAAAGCAAATGCGCTGGTAGTTAAATGTTGTTACATAACCGGATTACTCATGTAGTAATGTAACCTATGGTCATGTGTGCGTTTATCCTATGGTCATAGTCCATGTTTTTGCCTTTCTCATGCCCTTGTGAGCCAGATGTACTGACAATGAGCGATTGTCTGATATTAGGTCGTTTCCTGGATGCCCTGTTATTTCCGGCTTAGGCCGTTATATAAGCTCATGTTTACTTGTTATTTGTTAGTTCTTAGCTGAGTATTATTAAAGTGGCTAAAACCCGATATTCATTACGTCTTACGGATAGTGTAAGCGTATCAGTGTGCATCCGTCGCATCGCGTTAGCGGATACAGAGCACGTACGTACGTGCACCGCAACTCAACCCGGATATGCAGTGCTTTGCTAAGCGCGCAGGCCTTACGGTAACTTCGCAAGTTATCGTCGTGACTGAAGCGGTCTTGCGCTAAACGTCACGAATTTGGGGAGGAGCCACAAATAACAGCAGTAAAACTTTAGAGCTAGTGAAAATTAACCTCTATACTTACCCATTTATCCGGCTAGTAAATTGATCACTCAATTTGTACTCTAAACAGTAGTGATAGTTCGGTAACTCGTTGATCCGAACCTCTGTGACCGTACGCCGTGGCCATAGTCTCCAATTTAATAAGTACCCAATCTGATCTGAACAAACTAAAATATTCCGTATTATACGGAATAATTTACGGCCCATATATGCTGATTAATGTCCTTAGTTTTGTTCGGATTGTAATGAAAGGTCAGCCCGGTTGAACGATTACTATGGTCAGGTTCTTTTAGAGCTGCCTTCAAGTTGCTTTTAACGAGCGTTCTTATTCCTGAGTCATGTTTCTGAGAGCTTTAAATTGCTAACAATTTATTGAAGCGAAGCCATTCACTAGCAGCATCGTTTGCGTTACTGCTAACTAGGATTTTCAGTTTTGTAGCAGTAAAAGTTTATTCAAATCTTTTTAATTTGCTGACCTTAAGCCGTACCAGTTAAATTTAAACTTTTGCTCCATGGAAGAGGACTCTCAAATTGTTTTCAAGGTCACCTTGAGCTTTCAGCTCTACCGGCACCGGCGTCTGTGTACAGGAGCCGGAGCGCATAATTACCAAAACAAAACGCATGTGACACAGTTTCCAGACAAGCTGGATCGAATGACGTTAGCAGTTTTTCGATTAATTTTTTGGTTTGTTCTGACCAGATCGTACGGGGTTTTACGTTGTAATATATAGTTCTTTTCCTTGATATACATGCGCATAAAGCATGTCCCAATTGCGGCAATAAGCTCTCGATAGAACGTAGTTAAGGCTGCAGAATGAGATATTACACGAACTAAGCACGAATAGTGAACGTCAAATATTTGTATTTCTATAGTTGTATTTTGCTGCTGTTGGTAGTATACTTACGAGGTGGAATAAATATTAGCGGTGCAGAAAAAAGCACAAAAATCGCGGCCAGTCTTCCTATTATCCGGCAAGATGGGCAATACGCTGAAACAAAGTATGGTACTCGTTTGAAGTGGCTGATTGCATATTATTTCGAATTTTGTTCACACTTTCCAGCATTCGGGCCGGCTTGTGTGCAGCTTGGCACATGAAAATTGATGTCTGCACATTTTTTTGAGTGCCGCATTTTTGCCATCCACTTTTGTCGATATGAATTATGGCTCAAGTAAACAGATATTTTATTTAACAACATTATCATTACAATTGCAGTGACGTTTTATAAACTCTAAATTTTGACTCCTAATTTTGTAAACTGATGATTCTCTGGAGACAAGCTTACCGCTGGGAAGCGACAAATGAAAAATACTCGTGTTAGTTACTAAGTTAACGATAGCCTAATTGCGTTAACAGTTGACACTGCATTTGGCGTGCATTGCGAAGGCTGAATCTTTATGGCCGGCACAAAATAGTCAAAAACAGCACATGAAACACTCAAAATAAATTCCGTAAATTATTCTTAATTTTCAAGCTGGGCAAGGCATGCACTTTTCGGTCGAAAGTCGTCCAAAATTGTAAAAATTCAAAGATTTATAAATGATTGTCAAATCATAGTGGCGATTACTTTTCCTTCCTTCACGCACCGGAAATCCCTAAAACTTGTTTAATAAAGCGTTAAACATTGAGATATTATCAACCCACTAGAACAGCAGCCAAACCGGCTGCTGTTACACGGCGCTCCTGGTTTCGAACCAAGCCGACAGGATACCAGGAAGCCGACCGCCACCATTATTTTTCCAGTTGTCGTTCAGTTAGTTTCTGTTGTTTTGTGTTTATCGGTAGCTCTTTTGCGAGTTTTTAATTTTAATTGCTAATCCTGATCAAATTAGACATTTCAACTGCATAATTCTCATTTTTGCCGCTGTTGTTTGCATAACTCAAGTAACTTTCTGAGTGACTTTTGTGCAAGATATAATAACATAAAATTGCGAAAGTACATTAACGAAAATAATTAAAAATTAAACTGCGTACATATTGCTTACCGTTTGGTTCTTGGAAATCTTTGTGAATCATATTATTTTGGCATCGCTGATAATTTTGCCACATCCTGTCCTTTGTCTGCAATATACATATGCAGTACCTGTAAGGGTACTCAAACATCCTTTACGAATGGCGCTATAACTTAAAGGTGCCAGATCCTTTAACTTTTGGCTCCGCCTCTGCACGACCATTGGACGAAAGGTTCTATAATTTTCCTCTCTTCAACTTAAAGTCCTTTAACTTATTGTACCAAAATCGTTACTTTTCGGTATGGCGCCCGCTGAGTTGGAAATCGCTAGGGCAAACTGAAACGGAACCTGCATCTAATGTGCAGATATCTGTTGCGGACTGCTGAAATTTGTTTCCAGTGGTTTTAGCCTTTCTGTCCTCTTGTGAAGTGGGATGCGTAAACACCCATTCAAACCTAATTTAACATTAACCGATTTAGCAAAGTATGATTGGCTAGTGAGAGTTGTAGACAGTACTGTAAAAGTAGCCGGGATTACATGTTTAATTAGGTACAACAATACAATAAATTAAAAAATGACCAACGGCCGCAACGGCCGAGGTCAAAAGGTCAGGTAAGTATAATAAAGAATGCAACGCCCGCAACGCCTGAGGTCAAACGGCAGGTTGTATGTGTGTCAAGGCGATCAGCTAATCATTGCTCACTTTTACGCGCCGCAGTCCATTGTGCGGCATTTCTGTCTTCTCTCTACGAATAAATCAACGTAAATGTGTACGAATATAATTATACGTGTGTGTGTACGTTATTGTGCGCCGGACGCTGTCCTGAGAGCGCCGCAAGCCTCTTTACGGCATTTGTGTCTTCTGCTGTGAAGTGTTTTTAGATATTATACCTAGTCCATCAGCTGACGCTGTCTGCGCTGCGGCACATTAATATATGCGGCAATAATAACGACAATGTGCTGAAGTTTACTGCATAAATTTTTCGTCTGTACAAAATGTATCTCAGATCACGTAAAGAAAGGAAGTTAATGTTCTTTATAAAAAGAAACGTTCTGAATCGTAAAAAAGTAGCTGTTCTACTGCAACGGAATCATTCAGATCATCGATATAAATCACTGTACATAATCAGGAGAAAATCTATACAGAGCTGTTTAAACCGCGTCACCCATGATCGTAGCGCGATCTGACAGTTCAATGGCCCCTGGGCCATATGCAGCTCCACGTGCTGAACGGGCTTTCAATGCAGCCCAGCCACGCCGAGTCACGCAGACAACAGAGACCGCTGTGAGAGCAGCAGCCAAGATTCCCACGCAGGTATAGAACACGTCGGACACTGTCACATCGGCATCTGCAAATCTAGATTTGCATGAATAATAAAACTATTTTAAAATGAGCAACTGTTTAAAGTTTAATCCTACTTGGTGAAGGCATGGCCGAGGTGTAGTCGTTTGGCGGATTTATGGAGACATTTCTAAAAGCGAAAGATTAGTGTGGTTTCATTTTTAAATTTTTAATGCCTACTTGGTCGGGTGGGAGCAGCCGCCGTTCCAGGTGCGATATCGGTCGGTGCACGATTTGATGCCGTTGCAGCGACTATTAGCAAAAGTCTTTATGTTAGCGTTGTTTAAGAATCAGCAGCGAAACGATTAAAAAATTCATTTACTGCGCCGCGAAAAAATGCGGCAAGAATTATAAATAAATTCTTTCGACGTACTGTGCCGCGTAAAAATCGGCGGCAAAAATTTGAATAAATATAAGCATTCGTAACAGATAAAATCTGTGGCAAATCATTTTAAGCAATCGTACCGGGTAGACCAGTCGGACTGAGTACTGAGATTAGATCTTTAGGATCTTTTGAAGAACCTTCGATGAAATATACGTAATTTTTGTGCCGTATAATTTGGCGGCAGAGGTTAATTAGATTAATATACGACGACACCTTCACACACCCAATCGGGGAGACAAAGGCAACTCGCATAAGATGCGAGCGAAATGAGCATGACCACGCTTAGAGGAGCCATTCTTATGCAAATTAAGAAAATTTGGCAGAAGAATGAAAGAATGTATCGGTGCAGGCGTGGGTAGACACAAAGCACTGCTGCAGTAGTAAATGACTACCGTGTAACGGGCGCGTATAAAAGGCCGAAACAACCCGTGAGAAGCTTCAGTCGTTCAGATTTTCCAGTTTTGCTTGAATTTTGAATTTTGAAGTTTCTTTCGTGTTTCATCCATTTCGTGTTACAAAGGACATCGTCATTTCCAAAATGAGCAACCGAGGTTTTCGTAATCATATGGGTCGGTACGCAAAACGCTTTGTGCCTCCACCGCCCCAACCCGTGCACGATTCGACGCAGTCGTCCGCCAAATCGCTGGGCTTTGACCTTGAACCTTAAAACGTTTGTGCCCATAACGACGAAGATCTCGCCTGGGCAATGAACGTGGGGATCGTGCTGTTTCCGCAGATCGACTTTGAAAATGGCAAACAATATTATGCGTTTGGTTTCGACAAAACTGTGATATACTTTTAGGGAGATAACGGAAAACATTTTAGGAAAATGCCCTATGGCATTTTCCATCATCCAGACGAAGTGTGGAGACGATTTTATCGATCAGCGCCGTGTGAAATGGATCCGCGCCAGAAACCAAAGCCATGGAGTTGCTCTGGTCGTCTTCGAAAGCGCTGATTACCAAAAATACTTGTCTCAACACGCCATGTTGCAGATGACGCGGAAGATGAGCTTGTGGGTAAGGCAGACCTTTTTATCGGTTACGCGGGGCAAAATTTTTAGCGGCAACTATTGTCCTTATTCGAAGAAAAATACTGCCATAATTTGAAGGCGAAAGAAATTTGCTAGTCTGTTAAAATATATGTAGGAATTGTATCCACTGAAACTGATGTGACGCATGAAGTTGTGCGGCAAATACTTATTTAATGTTTTTTTAGTCGGGAAAGCTGACGGACTTTTTGGTTCTGGTGCATGTGAACGAAGACAAATGACGCCAGCATTATCCAGGAATTTACCAGAATTTGTTTCCGCCAGCTGGTATTCTGGCGCTTGAAAAGCTTTCTCCTCAGTGCTATATAAATGGTGGCCTTCCTGGGATCAACTTGCGTGCTACGAACAGCTCGATCATTATTGGCGATTTTAATAATACGCATATCAACCATTAGGCATAACGTGCACGAGTTCGCTACACGAGATTTAGGTAGGTTTTGTTTTTATTCAGCTTGGTTTCTGTTGAAAAATAATTTTCGTTATTAGTTTCGGATGTCAGCTTCGGGAAATTTCCCATCCCGGCCATGCAGGAAGGGCAAGGACCAGTGTTTCCGCCACGTGAAGCTGGAACCGGTTGGGGCAAAATCAGCCAGGTGAATTATCTTACAATCCTTCGTTTATTTAGTTTTTAATTTTATTACATGTGCTAGGCGGAGGAATTGGCGGATATCAGCACGAAGATTACCAAGACAACGCTGGCGGCGCGAGCGCGTATAACGGCAACGGCGGTGGCGGAGCGGCGTATCACGGCAATGGCGGCGGGAACGTAGCTAACCCCAACAACGGTGGCGGCGCGACCGCGTGTCACGGCAACGGTGGCGGAAACGTAGCTTACCAGGGCAGCGGCGCTGGGGGAGGCACGCATCGGAGCAACGGCGGCGCAGCTTTGGATGAAACAGTGGCATCAACATCCACCGGATATACTGGCGCGACTGGGGCTTTTCGCTATGCACCACCGGAAAGTATGTCGCAATTTACGTTCCCTTCCCTCTCATGTTTGGCTTATTTAGTTCATTGTTATAGCGTACATGGAGCGCTACATTGAAGACCGTACTGGGATTTCTTCGTCTGGACAGCCGATGGACAACGAAGAGATGGTGCATCTCTCCATCGAGATTGCGCAGAAAGCCTTAAAGGAGCCGGGCGGTCTGAAAGAAGAAGCGAAACAGTGGGTTCACTGTGGACGCTGCGAGAATGCATGCATGTATTTTAGTCCTGAACATTTGTCATTATTACGATACCTGTTGCATGGCCATCATAAAAGCTTAGTGCGCCGCAATATTTAATTCGGCATTTATTTGCATGTCTTAAATATTTATTGTAAGAGTTAACGGAATGTCATGCGCCGCAATACCAGCAATTATCGAGTTATTTGTCTTAATTGTTAACTCTTCACGATCATTGTGCGCCGCAATGTATGCTGCGGCGATCATCTGCTGTACTTGTTGTTTGTCGTTGTGTATGAATAAAATTGCTAACAAATCGTTTATCCATAAAATCTCTGCATTGCAGATCTCGGAATAAAAAGAAGCGCAAAAAGGATCATTTTGGATAAAGCATTTTGGAGCGCTAGGCTTACACATTATTTTAAACTGGCTTTTCGACAATAAAGAATCTGTTGTCTTGTGCATTTTATTGTATTGGCTAAACATAATAATCACATATTGCAGCGGGATCTTAACCATAAATGCCGCAATTGGTATTGCGGCGCATTTAAGAAAAGTGAACGAATATTCACAGAAAAGCGAACATATGCGCAAAAATAACGATGCCGCAAACTTTATATTAAGAATGTCGTAAATCTACTTGCCGTAACAAAAAATGCGGCGCGAAATACATGTTATTTTAACAGATTTCTTGCACCGTTTTCTGAGTTTGACACCGTACTCTACTAACTGTATTCCCAAATAGGACGGACACACATTTGCCGTAACAAAATTGCGGCGCATAGGCAATAATATACTGGAATGGTGGAACCACCAGAAAATTAAATGACCGTGTGTTATTCTAAATAAAATTTTAAACCGTAATCGTAGAATATAATGCCAAACTCTCTCAAAGTCAACTGTACAATATTTGCTCAAAACATATAACAAAAAAGCTTTTGTAAACTTGGTTCCTTATAGCAAAAAAGTGCATGGATACCCAACGTGATATTCAAGCCAGCGCTGTTATTATTATGTTTTATCGAATACGTTGCATCACTGATTTCGTTTTTGCCGCACATTTTTACTCGGCGCTTAGGACAGAACAATTTTTTAAGGGGTGAGCGAATCAGTAATAATTTTGTCTTAACTTTGCTGCGCACACAACATCGAATTAAATTGATAAGTGTAATGAGCAGTACCAGTTTGCAATGCAATGTAGTACGCTGCAGCGTACTACATTAAATCGCTGTCCGAGTTTAGTTAAAAAGTAGTGCTTTGATAAATTTTGCGACACAGTACAAAAGCATTCTTGCACAGAATGTTGAATTAGCCACCAAGTAGGTACAGGGCCGCATTAAAAAAGAAACTGGTCAAAATAAACCGAAAAAAAATATTTTTTGGATTAGAACTCCGGGCCTCTTAGCAAAAATTTGCATGGATACCGCGTACGCTGTACTCTAACTGACTTTAGTGTAGTTCAGTTCTTTCCATAGATCTGCAATGTTACTGTTTCTTACATGCGTTTGTTATGGGCAACGCTACTTTAAATCTTTCCGCATCTAGTGGTTGGGTCATAAATTTATTTATTTAGCTGAACAACATTTTGAAGAAAATATTCTTCTACTAGTGTCATATCCAGGAGTAAACGAACAACATCGTTAGCAACAAAAGTTTCACATCAGGCGCGTACAACAAATACATATTCAAAAATACAGCAGCTATATAGATAATCATCCTAAAACTGTCTTGAACCCGGTCATGTATGCAATCGTGTGAAAGGCTAGACAACGGCAGTGTCTGGAATGCAAAGCTTTAAATACTGTGAGAAAGTATCATGCATCCACTCACCTAATATTTAACGTAGAACAAAAGGAGGTTCCAGTACGCCAAATCGACCACGGATCCGATATAGGCATCTCGTACTATACCGCCGTCTTCTCCGGAAGTTTCCTTCCGAAGCGGCGATGTTTTAAGTGGTCCAAGAAGAAAGCTAGACATTTTATTTTGTTTAACATTTTGTTCAACTAAGTGCTTGGTCCTTTGAGTCTGCAACGGCTGCACTCAAAGCTGACGTATGACACCGCCCATATGAAATCGCGGCAGCCAATCGAAATATATGTGCACACGTTGCACCACTTTCTCTTTTAACCGATTGTGAGTTTTGACAAAAATTTTTTTGTTCATTTAACAATTTGTCGTTTGTAGGATGATGTTCTCGGTGGATGGACTTACACGTTACATCGTCCACGGGGTTCGAACCCCAACCCTTTTGGACTCGTTTACCCTGTTTCAGAATATACCATTCGAACATATGAACTTTACGTCTGCCTTATACTGGCTGGAACAATTTTACAAGGAATTGATATCAATGCTTTTTTGCACCCATAATGTTGGTCCAAAGGACCGAGTTCAAACTGATTTTCGACACCCAATCATGTGTATGGTACCCTCTCCACGAAAACGATGTTTGCAAAGAACTGACCCCGGAAGCCATTACAGCAATAATAGAAGGAATAAATCGGTCGGGAGGAGCGTTTTTTGCGTTAGACCCGTTAGTGAGTTACACATTCACCTTATGTCGCAACATTTCAGCGACGGAGCGACGTTGCCTGAGAAATTCCAACTTCCGGATTGCAAAATTCTAAGAACGGCACAAAAGTGTCATCCTAATTGCGCAAAACCTGTACCAGGATCGGTCGGACTCTTCGTGCTGTGCCAGAGCAATCACTGTTGGCCTAGCAATCGTCCAAAAAATGCGAAACCTCAAATATATCAAGGACTCACAAGAAGCGGAACAATTCAATTTGCAAAGCGTCTGTGCCGGTAGGCACACAGCAGAAAATTGCCTATGGGTCTTTGTGGTTGCAAAAGCGTTGCAACAGACTTCCCTAACCGATACCATTCAGTGCCTTCGGACAAGGTACCAACATATTCAGTGTATGGATACTCCGTTTTTGCAAACAAAAAGTGGCGAATGTTACAAGGGGAAACAGACTCTTGCAGTGTGTACTGCAATGGACTTTATTGGTGACTCTCTCGACTCAAAACTCTCAACTAAAAAGCAGCTCCAACTAAAACAGCAGCCTCGAAACTCGCGATGAAATCGCGCTTATATTGGCGGCAAACGCCAAACATCAAAGCTTGAAAATAGAAAGCAAAACATAAACAACAGGTTACGCAATCAAAATTCATGGGAAGAACACGCCTATGGGCGTGAAGGCATTCCCGATGACATCATACAAATGACATCATAACACAAAATAAAAAAGACAGCCATTTCCGATGTTTTCGAATGATTTTGATTGTACAGACTCTTATTGGTCAGACGTCCACTAGCGGGTGTGGTCGTATACATGTACGCCTATGCACTCGGTATCTTTTCTCATATCGGCTATATACTAGCATTCTTTCTCCCATACACTGTCTTAGCGTACGCGCTACTAGTACAGTGTAGCTGACTGTGCGGGGATACTGTTTTTATTTTTTGTTTTTACTCTTCTAATTCTAATATTAGACAGGAATATAAATTACTAGCAAAACTAGGAACTTATATTCGTACCTGATATTAGAATCAGTATTTTATGCCCGTATGCGGAGATTTGCCATGTGCTGAACACGAACGGACAAGAGATCGTGAGGACCCTGATGCAGGCAACAACACGGCAGTACAATTCATAGTCTGAAATTATGAAAGAACCGACAGAATTTCTGAGTATGGACTGTACTGCCGTGTTGTGCCTTTTCCCAAGCTTCGTCTCGAAATCCATCTAGGCGCGCACGATTGAAATTTCCTGTGGACAACTGAACTTATGAATTCTAGTTGTCAACAGCGAATTTTAGTCGCGTGCTGTGCCTGCCCGACGACAATCTCTGCGCGATGCTTCTATAAGACAGAATCTCCCTCAGCCGTAATCAAACAATCATGACCATGATTTAAAAATTTATGGCACAAATCATGGCCATGAATAGATGATTACGTGCTGTGCCCTGCCACGCTCGAGGTTTGTGGACTACGTCCACCGATTTTTATATTTTTGAAACATAATGAATTTACTGTGATATGTATTTTTTCTATGATATTTATAGTTCTCTTTATTTTTTATTCGTTTTCTATAGTTTTCTATATTGTTCTACGTTTTTCTTTTTGTTGCTAATTATTTTGTTTTTATTTTTGAATATTTTTTTAATCATGATCCATGTGTACATGGGCGTGCCCAGCGACCGGTGCAACAAAATCATCGGGAGACTGCGTAAGCTGGCGCATGGAAACCATACCTATGACCGCGCAACAAAAACAGCGATAAAAATTCCGCTGGTCGGGCTCGATGGCTCCGGTGTCCAGCGCGCATAGCTGCTGTAGACGCTGTCCGATGAGCTCCAGCTGCTCCTCATACCGTCCTACTCCTGCGGCGGCGTCGCTCGTGTTGCGCGCGGTTTTGTGCGCACTAATCAGGACGCGGGTCCGATTTTCGCCCCGCAGGGCCAGGTCAACTTGAGCACTGGCTTACGGCTGCAGGATGACCTGGCTGTTATTCGACGGTGACGCGAAGGTCCGGTTACCGGCCAAATAGGTCATACACCACCGGTACGCTTCATTGGGATCCGTCTGGAAGTTCCGCTGCCGAGCGCCGGATGGCTGCCGCTCCCCAGTCGCCAATAGACCAGCCTCTTCCGCCGCGAGCCTACACTCGCGCCCACCCGTGCGGGCTTCCTGAGCGATGTTATGCTTAATTGCTGCGATGTCGGATTCAAGCCCGCGGCGCAGCTCGAAGGAGGCCTCGACGGCGGCGCTAACACGGGTTAGCTGGAGGAATACCCGAAGCTGCAAATATATATTTTTATTAATACGTTGTAGATTTCTATTTAGATTAATATATATTATCTATTACTTGTTATTTATTCAATAAATTACTTTTTAATTAATTTGTTTTTACTACCATACTACGGCGCCCGGCAGCATTAAGCGCGAACAGATGTTGGTGAACCGGTCCGCAGTTGCCAGCATTGTGTAAACCAGCATCCCATAGTTGCTCCGGGGTCATATGTGCGGTAAAAATAGTGCGTGCTGTTATCTGCCATTTTGAGCCGGAAGGGTACAAATAAAAATTATTAGAAATTTCAAGATCAGTACAGCGCAAACTAAATTTTTTTCGTATCTGTCTTGACCTCGGGATATTTTGTGTTGCCAGGTGGTTTTATTAATATGATTATGTATGTACTTTGGTCAGTATACATGATGTATGTACAGATACAAAGTATGTATTTATAATAAGTACTGTATGTATTTTTATGTACTATGGATACTTTAATGATGGATGTATCAATTAGTGTACTGTAAACTATTAAATGTATACGTTTATAAATTAAATTAATACGTATGTACAGATGCTATGTACCGGAAGTGTCT